TAATCAACTTCCAAACACTTGAGGTTTTGGGGGACACCTCAGATCTAAGCTATTAACACTACTGGTGTGTTTTGGGCTGGATAAGTCTCTGTTGAAAGGTTCTGTCCTGTGCATTGTAAGCTGTTTGGCAGCACCCCTGGCCTTTACCCAAGAGATCCTAGTAGCATAGCTCTCCCATTGCATCCTCCTTTATGACAACTGAAAGTGTCTCCAGAATTGAGCACACAGACCCTACGAGACAGGTGCCAGCTTAGAACCGCTGGGTTAGGCAAATGTAAAGTTTATCCAGTGCATAATATGCTTTATAATTTCCACATACTTGCCTTTCCAGGGGTAAAAGCATACTGGATATCAAAGGGCCCTTTCTATACAAAAGTGACGAACTGAGGAAGGGAGGCTTTTGAGGAAGGAGAAAATTCCAAACCTGCTACAATAGCACTCACAATGTTATTTTGAAAGTTTGAGTAAGATGTAAGGGATATTATTTGTTTTTGATTAGTTTTTAAAAGGTAGAGAAATTGAGATAGAAAATAAGAAATTACTCATAAAACTCTTTTTTTTACAAAACCTATCTGGAAACAGGATTTTAGCATTTGAAATCTATTATTATGAGGAATAGTACAATATTAAAAATAATAAAAGTAGTTTCCATTTTCTGCAACTTTGGTATGTTCTAGGTATTATGCTAAGAATTTAATAGACAAAATTTTTCCAAGATTCACAGCCCCATTTGGCAATAAAAAAAAGAACTATCTCTATTTTACAGATAAGAAACTCATTTAGAAAAGTCAAGGGACTTGCTCAGAGAAAGAATATAGTGTGAGTCTTCTGAATTTCCAAATATATATACATATATAAATATATATATATATAAATTTTGTTTAATGCCTTTTGATAAGTTTATCTCAAATATTTAATGTACCAAATGAAGAATTCACTATAATATTTCTCTGATTAATATATTACTTCACACTGATTTTCGAGGTAAAGGATAATTTTCATTTAATCCTTGGGAACTGACCTCCACACATAAATACACACAAAATTTTATACACACACACACACACGTAAAGTAGGGAGGTGATAAACTACAGTCTTAAAATATGGCTGGCTTGTTGTCCCTTGGAGAACTAATTAAAAGCCATTTTTTTATCGTCAATTAAAAATTTACAGAAAGGAGTCATGTAAACTACAGGCAAATTTTGTAATAATCATTTCCATCATGCTAGAGGAGTAGCCTTGAGCACTGTGACCTTTATGCAACTCAGTTCAGTTTACTTGTGTGTATATTTATTAAAAAAAAATTCTTAACTCTTTTTGGTGACAAGATACTAAAAGTGTATGGAAAACAAATCTACATAAAAGTCAGAAACCTAATTTAAAGGAAGAATTTCAAACGTAATCTCTAACAAGCAAGATGTGTTTACAAGGGCCCATACCAGTTAACTCTCATGAAATACTTGTTTCTTATTATCTGATAAGAGCACTAATGTGAATTTAAATGGTTTTAAGTCACAGTAAGAAGCGAAAGCAAAAATATATTGAGTAATTAGTACCTACAATAAATGTTTTTTTGTTTTTTTTCAAAATACTTCCTGGCAACTATAATTTCTACTCACTCCTAGGAAAAGGAAAAACTAAAACAGTTCATTTTGTGATTGTGGTCATCATGTTGTTTAAATCCTGCATTGTTTTTGTGATATAGTTGATGGACTGCCCCAAACAGGTTATTTAGTGAACTACAAAAGAAAAAAAAATCCAGTTTCCATTTCTAGATTTCACATTAGCCTCTTCTGATCCCGTGGAATTGAAGTGACAAGTACCAGGGAAGCCAAGTAAACCAGCTGTTCCTCCTGCCAAGGGCAGGAAATAGCCTCATTCTTTCTAAGACCAGTGGGGCTGGCATGAATAATAGCTATCTCACTTTTTCAGGATAAACAAGAAACAGAATTGTTTCTTTCCATGCTAATCACATAGCAAATGACAGTATGCTCTGCAAGCAGCACATCAGATATTCCGAATATCTTTGTGTGTGTGTTCGTGTGTGTGCATATACATGCATGATGTGTGTTCATACATGCTGCAGCACCAATCCTAACTGTCTAAACTTGGAAGGTGGTGGTTGTGATGCATCCTCTATCCAAGATCTCTTCCCACATTCACTCAGGCTGGGTGAGATGCTCTTCAACTCTTCTCTTACTGAGATTTTAAGGATCAGCTAATGCTGGTTGGGCACAAAGGGAGAATAAATACAAGCTGGCCTCCTCTAGCTGTTTAATATCCTGTCCATTCACCTGGTATCTCATCTGTATATGTAAGAATTGATAATACCCCACTATGCTTTGCATAAGGATTAGAATACATGAAATTTGGTATGAGAGCTTAATAAATGGTAGTATTTGTTAAGGTTCTAGGACAGTGGTGGAGAACCTACGGCAAATGTTTCCACAGTGGGCTGTTTGTATCATTGAGAGCTCTAAAAAGTTTGCCATCACTGTTCTAGGATATTAGCATCAGTTTTCATCCTATATTTAACCACTTCTTTGTCAAATTACAAATGAAACACTGCTCCATTTAAACTTCTAGCCTACTGATTTAAAAATTGAAATCTATGTCTGTGTTATAAAATGGGCATTTGTTCCATCAGAAATGAAAAGTTAAAGACTATGCACTCTCTCATAGGCTACAACAACACTGAAGTTCTAATATTTTATGATGAAGAATCTCTCATCTCTGCTATTTTCTATGTATTGCCTGGTTGTTAGGCGCAGTGCTTTGTGTATGATCCCATTTTACTTATGCTCTGAAACTACATTATGTACAAGATATAATAATTTCAATATTACAGAAGCCGAGTTGGAACATCAAGTACTAGTATCAAGAATTCTTTTTAAAAATTGAAAGTGCACCTTCTTCATGAGATTTAAAATAGTTAACTGATTTATCAGCGAGGCTGCTGGCTACAAATGAGGCAAGAGTGACGCATCCTGACACAGCCATTCTGTGTACCAAGAGCTTTTGAACAGCTACCGGGAAACCTGGAGTTTATCGACAGGCTACTACTACAGACCACCTAGAGCATCTGCACACAAGAGAAATAAAGACAAATATGATGAGCAGATAGTTCAACCCTTTCAATATACAGATGCAAAAGGCAAGGTATGGCATCTACCTGCCATGACCCAGTGCAAGTTACAAAGAGCTTTTCCATTAAGCTACTGCATATTTCCCATTTGGGATAATGTTCAAAATGCTGTGATGAATTTTAGGCCTCAATACTCTGCTGTTTCCATGGTTTCATTCTTTATAGGACTCAGCAGTTCATAGCCCCAGACCCACCTCTAATACCCAGGAATGACCTTTGCTTCCGGATCCATTTGAAAGATTCAGGTCTGGAGTATGTATTCCCTTCAATTCAGTCACCCTGTTATTCATAGCACTGTCCTGCGGAAAGACTTGATAAGGTACAGGGGCCTGAGTGTGTGTGTGTTACCATGGCTACTTCCCTCCCGTCACAAGTGTGACATCACATCCTTCTGGCTTTGAGTCACGGAGGAAGGAGCTGCAGGAATAAAAACAGTGTGGGCTAGCAGTGGTGTTCTCTTATCTCTCCACGGTCAGTAGTGAAGGCTCTAGTCATAGCCACTTAATTAGCAGCAGAACCTGGAGCAAATTTCAGGACAGGGGGATTTTAATTATAATGACCATAAAGTCCCTTCTAATTCATGGTCCCCCACTTTTACTTGGTGGGGAACAATTTCCATTCTCCTAGGTTAAATACACATATGATTCACAGCATATGTTACTGCTAAAAAGAGAAGCTTTATTATACTGTACAACCTTGGTGGCTAAGCAAGAGCTCCATCCGTGACAGTACTCCAGTGAACACCCACATTCCAGGCAGAAGACCTCCACAGCCTTCACCACTGAGAACACTGTGACCTAGAAGTACATAACGAAGAGAAAACTCCATTCATGTGACTAAGGAGGCATGGGGCATTAGCCTCTGTGCTTTTTCTAAGCAATTAAGTTAAAAGGAGGGAAAGAGATTAAAAATGTAGGTTTTCCTGAAGCAGAAAGTCTTCTGGGCATTGTTCACTGGTTAAAGAGTTAAGGAACGGGGAGGGCAATGGGAAGGAAAGAAGTGAATATGCCGCTACTTCAGAACAATGGTCTCTCTACTCCCCCACCCCCAACGCCCTACTTCATCACACAGGAAAGTGCTGGAGAAAACAGATTAACTCCTTCAGGTCAATCAGATTGGGCATGGATTTCCAGATAATTACTTCTCACATCTAAAACAAGAAGTGTACTGATTGCCAATGTCTCAATCCTCTTTCTGGCTGGAGTCTTTCCTGAAGGAAGCGCAGGGGTCAGGACAGCGATTCATACTTTTTGCACAGAAACTCATTCATTCAAACCCTACTGCATTCTCCTACTGCCTGCGTCATTTCTTACTATTGCATCTGCCCTCCCTCTTGACTTCAGTCTGGAAACTTTAGCCAGGTCACCAGGAGCTCAGAACGATCCCAGCTGCTGGTTGACAATCTGCACAGAGGCTTCTTTTTAAAAAGTGTGGTCTTTAAATCCAAGGTGGATGAATTAAACTGACATTTATGATAAACAACTGCTACACTGTTTATTTGAGTCATTTCCATGAGAGAAAACAAACTCCCTTATAAGGAGAACATATCCTTCTGGGAAAAGCCCTTTTACATCTGTCTCTGTAATATTCTGAATGGGTTATATTAGAAAACTCCAAGAGGCCTTTAAAAAGACTTCAACGTGTGCCCTTTGTCTTCTGAGTCAATGACTGAAAAAAATGAATTAAATAGTACTTTGAATCCTAAGTGATACATATTCTTTCTCTTGCCTTTGGAAGAAAAAAGGACAAAAATAGGATCTTTAAATGACTTCCACAAGAACAGCGAACATTAAGGGTGCTGCCTCACAAGTCACTCTTTATATCTTATGACATTTGACACAACTTTGTAACCTACCTTCTCCTCTCTCCTTCTCATCCTCCTCTTCTTTCAGCAGTTTGCCAACAGAATTATACCACTTAAACTGCGGGTCTGGGATGCCATAGACACTACAATTAATCAAAGCACTGTTCCCTTCCTTGATTATGATATGGTCAGTTCTGGCAATGATTATAGGCACAGAGCCCAACACCACATCAGTGCCGTTTAAAGTGCTGTTAGCCACACTCTTAGCACTTGCTAGAGTGGACACTAAGATTAAAAAGGGCACAGAAGGTAGAAAGCACGAGGTCAGATGGCTCTTCAACAGATCCATCTTCTTTGCTTGCTCTGTAAGGCAACAGCTGGTTTGCCAATGGAATCTTCTATCCGATAACACACCATTCAGAGCAGGCCATGGGACAAACCTGTCCTCGATCCACGGAGTTGTTACTTGATTAAGAATCTGTTAAAAAACAAAAACCAGGCATACATAAGTATTAGCATTTATGCTTTAAAGATACTATTTGTAAAACACTAGCAATCTGTCTAAAATACAAGCCTACACAAGTTCAGAAGGTGCTCCAATGTTAATGATATTTTTCACAAAAACCATAACAGAACTTTGTTATTTTTTGCTATTACAACATAAGCTCATATATTTGTCACTGTTAAATTGATGTCACCTTACTGCAGAGTTCAAAACTGATTTAGCTTCTTTTACTTAGCTTTACTAGTTCTCTTTCTATGCTGTCACTTGTCTTCTTTGTGGATAATTTGAGTCCTCACTGCAGGTGTCCCTCACCTCTTCTCTTCCAGGAAACATGAACTCCAGTCTATTTTATCGGTCTTAGCTTGGGCTCTGTCAGCATTTGGAAGGACTTTTCCAGAATCAGTTTGGTATTCTTGTGAGTCCATACTATGGCTTCCAGGATACTCTCTTCGCCTACTCATGATCCTATGAGCCCCACCGTAACTCTCGCCATATGCTATGTTAACGGTTAGCGCTTGACTCCTAACCACTCACTGAATTCCCTCATTTCCATCTTCATCTGCCTCCTAGAAGCTGGAAGACATCATCAGGATGGTGAGGTGACATTTGGGTGGCTGCACTTCAATGTCCAAATATCTAACCTTCACCAATTCCTCTCTCCTCTGTTTTACCAACTAACCCTATGGCCACACTCAGTCTCCAAATTCTAAATTCTGAAGTTCAAGTAATTCTGAAGTTTTAAGTAAACCACATTTAGTTGCAATCAACCATTCTTCCGTATCTCTTACCTCCCTCAGTGGGGTTTTCAGTCTTCTATTTTTTTCTTTTCTTTTTTTTGGTACCGGGGATCAAAGGACCTTGCGCTTTCAAGGCAGGCGGCAGAACTACTGAGCTAAATCCCTGGCCCTCAGCCTTCTATTTTTCTTAGTCTTTCTGTTTCCTTTCCCACCTCCTGATCTGCATGTTTCATTTCTATCTCAGTCTAGACCCAATCACGTAGATTACAATCCCCAATATTCTCACTCCTTGTCCTTGTGCCACATTTACTCTGCCAATAGTCAACCTTGATCAAGCCAATCATTTATCCTGGCTCCTATACCTAGAGGCTGGTGCACTCCTGGAGAGAATCATACAATGATGCAACTACTGCCAAAATGAAGGAATGACCTCCAGTCCTCAGTGACTCTGGCACAGTGCTCAGTCAGTTCTGCGTCCTCTTTCTATAATGCTTACAGACGTGTTTACAGACTTGCAAGCCAACCATCTTAGCCCAATAGCATTCCTACCTTCTCAAAACAAAACAAGAAAGACCACCTTTCTCCTGAGAAGGCTCAAGGCATGAATTCTCTCTATTCATCTTCCCACTTTTTGGAAAGCATCCTGTATCCTGTATCCTGTATCCTGTATTTCTTACTACCGTTTACTCCCCAGATTTCTGTATTTCCCTTGCTCTTTTCTGAAACAGCTCTCATTCACAGCACCAATTGTTCCTCATTGACTAGTTTTTGCCTACCTCTTACCAAATGTCTATGGTGACTGATACTATTAATGATTCTTTCTCAAAACACTTTCGATGGTTCCACACTCTAATTTCCTCTTCTTTCCACTCCTTAAAAGTTAATTAACTCCTATAGTTTGATCGTTGGCCCTCTTCTCTTTTTACACACAGCTCCTTCTAAGGTTTCCTCCCATGCCTTTATTCCCACCTACAACCTAAGCAGTAACTCCCAAATCCGTGTCCTAAGTCCTGAGTCCTTTCCTGAGTTTCAGACTGTTATTAACAACCTGGATGTTCTGCAGACAACTTAAATTTAACATTTTACAACCAAATTCTTTAACTTATCTGCGAAATATGACATTTCTTGGATCCCTTACTTCAGTTCAGGATACTACCATCTATGCAGGTACACATGGGCATATCCTCAATTCAAACACTGTCCTACTCTCCCAGGACAGTAGTAATTACATGTTGTTGGTTTCGCTTGATAAATATTACTTAGATCTGTTTCATCCTTGCAACCTTGTCTTACCAGAAATCAGGCGGCAGTCTTCTGCATGATCTGCCTGATTTCAATCTTTCTCCATGTCCTCAACCACCCCTTATAACCACTGGTAAAATAACCACTCCATGACTCAAACTATGGTACCATTCCTTTGCTTGGCGAACTTCAGTGTTTCTTCAATGCCTACATTATGAAATCTGAATTCCTTACCTTTTTATTCACTCAAAAAGGTTTACAAGAGTAGACAAGAAAGATCTTTCATGTTACGTAGAGCTACTGAGCTCACAGAGTAGACAATGAAATGTACATGTATAAATAAGGATTTCAGCTGCAGATGCACACTTTGATAAACACACCATGATGGCTAAGTGCTGACTTAGGCAGTCAGAAAGACTTTAGTGGGATGGCCCCTGAGCCAGGACCAGCAAGGCCAAGACCTGGGAGAAGAGTGTCTCAGGAACAAGGAACAACAAAATAAATACCCCAGGGTGAGGAAACAAGAGAAGCATTATAGAATTGGTCAGAGAAGTAGACAAACCCAGATCATCTAGGTCTTTGCAGACTAGACTAAGGACAGTTTGTGTCATATCTAATATTCAGGGGGGTGGCACTGAGCGTGGTGGTACATGCTTGTAACCCCAGAACTTAGGAAGCTGAAGCAGGAGGATGGTAAGTTGGAAGTCAGCCTGGACTCCCTAGTGAGTTTAAAGCCAGCCTGGACTATATAGTAAGACTGTCTTTTTCTTCTTCTTCAACTTCAACAACAACAACAACAACAACACAAACAAACAAAAGAAAGACTAATGTTCTTTGGGGAATTTTAAGCAAGAGAGTTATATAAAATATGGTGTCTCTTAAAAAGTCAACTTTACTGTGTTATAATTTACACTTAGCATAGTGTGCCCATTTTAGGTATACATTTTAATGAGTTTTGACAAATATATACACTTGTGTAACTACCATAATAAACAAGATATAGAACATTTCCATCACCACCAAAAGCTCCTTTGTGACCCTTCACAGTTTTAGTATTCCCTGTCATCCAGGGGTTACCTCTGTGTATGCCCCCAAAGAGTTGAGGTTCATTTTCTCCCCATATCTAGTTTCTTCAGCCCTATCTGTAGAAAAGACTATCCTTCCTCCAAGATTGCCTTGCCTTCTTGTTAAAACAATTAATTACAGGTGGTTCTATTTCTAAAGTCGTTATTCTGTCCCACTAATCTATATGTCAGCCCTTATGCCAATACTGTACTGCCCACACTGTCTGCCTCATTTATCTTTGTGTCTTCAGTCTCTGATGTTGCCCTTGACACACAGAATGCTCAATAAATTATCTGCAGAATGAAGGGAGATCTGTCCAAGGGCAGAAACCATTATTCCTATTCTGAAAATAATCAAACTGAAGAGGTACCTGGTGGTGATAACTTGGCTTCAGACCATATACTTCCTCAGTAGGAAAGAAGAGTTTTCTTAGTGCTGTAGGTTTCCATACTGTCCTTCCTGCTCCAGTGAGCCCAGCACATCTCCCCACTGTGGACAGGGGAGATGGCACATGCTGCAATGGCACCAAAGATACTGCCATGACTTTGGAAACAGCTTTCTTTACTTGGCTGAATGTGTGGCTTCCTTTGCTCAGGGCAGTTGTAAAGCTGCCATAGATAAGAGAAAAGAGGGAGCACTGTCCCAGGTTTTAGACTGGTCCAGGATCTCTATTCTCACCCACTTTTTTTTTTGGTAATACAATGACAGCCTGACATAAGAACAACTTGAGTTATAACCAGAACTTTAGTTTTAACTTATGTCTACAGTCTTGAGTTATGATCCTGATGCCAGCTGCTTGTGCTTCCAGATGGTCTCAGATACAGATATAACCCATACAGAGTTACAACATCCTTTCCTGTGTGGGGTTAATTGAGAAATCCTGGGGCAATGTCTCTCTAAGGACACTGAGATCTGCCTGTGTACAGGAGAGAGACTTTGAAGGGTATGTAGAGGAGCCTGAGCCTTCATTGACCAACTTGGGTTACAAACAGCCCTCAAGAATGAACTGAGTTTGTAAGTCAAGGGTCCACTGTACTGGGGATTAAACCCAAGGCCTTTGCACTGAGCTGAATCTCCAGCCCTTTTTTAGTTTTTAATTTTGAGACAGGGTCTTTCTAGGTAGTTAAATTGCCTAGGCCAGGCTCAAACTTGCAATCTTCCCACCTGAGCCTCCCAGAGTGCTAGGGTTACAGGCAGTGGAATTATGCCTGGCCTGGTTCTAACCACTTTTCTTGGCTGTGTGTTTCTGGTCAAGAAATTGCCAAGCACAGGGAAATACTGAAGACTCACAGTCAAATGTAGCATATCAAGCACGCTAGCTTGGGTTGATAAATATCATTAACATCATGTCCAAAGGATCATGAATTGGAACACGACTGCTAAGTCTAGTTTTAAATTATGTCATTCAAAAGACATACCTTCATTCTGGTCTTTGATTTGGTGCCATCCCACAAGAAGTCATTATGCATGACTTCCAGCACTGGGTCTTTTGCAGGGACCAAGTTCAGGCTGACCTCAAACTGGCAGTAATCCTGCTGCATCAGCCTCCCAAGTGCTAAGATTATAGACATGTGCCACTATGCCAAGCTAGCAGTTAGTATCTTGAGGGTAGGAGGCTGGGTCACTCATCTGTGACTCCCTGATGCCCAGGCTGAAGCAGACACCTGCCTACGTACCTTAGGGGAGAGTCAGAGATAAGACAGAGCTGGAGATAGACCCTAATAAATATGTGGAGTAAATATACTATAACTTTTTCACAATTAGGGAGAATATTACAAATGGAAGAGAAACAATTTAAAAATGCATGAAGTCGAGAGTTATTTTCAAACAAAGGCTACTTGTTCTACTTTCAAACCTATTGTTTGAGGTTGCAAGAATAAAAAGAAGGGGATACTGCTGAGCTATGATGTTTTAATAATAACAGGTGCTCTGGCTAAAACACAGGGACCACTCTTAAGCGGCAACTAGCTCCTCGGAGTCCTTCAAAGATACAGAGACAGACTCGCATTTTAACGTGGGAATTTTAGTTAGCAAACTGGTTCCCCTTCTCTCCCCATTCCTACATGCATCCTGTTCCATCTTGAAGTTATTAAGGGGCAGAAAACACAGTGTGATTTATAAGTTGCTTGCATCAAAGAGTTTTTACACTGAGCTGATTAACACCCATAGACTAATAGTTTTAGTAAGAATTCACTATATCATATATGCTCTTTTGGTTCTGATTTAAAAACAAAACAAAATGCATTTGTTGTATGTTGGGCACACTGCCAGGGACTTAGAGGATAAGAAATGGTACAACGTTCAACAAATCTTAGGCCGTGCCCACTCACAGTCTAGCTGAGAGGGAGAATTCCACGTTCTCTGGTGCTGTGGGAGTGGGCAGGTGAAAGGTCACTGGACAGCCTGAGGGAGACCTGGAGATGATGTCTGTTAAATACCTAACGAGCATTCCGGTCCCCCTTCTATCTTCCCCCCGCTACAGATCCCGGGGCTTACAGAAGATGCCGTCTCCCTGTCCCCTCTAGGGCACCTGCCTTACGCACCGACTTCTGCCGGTCCTCTCTGGCATATGATCTTGCACTTGTGTTGAAGAAACATTTTTCAATTACAAGGAGAGTTCCTGGATGCCAGAAACTCTAAGAGAGATTTCTGCAAGATTTCCTTAATGCAAGGTACCCATAACAACCTTTATATACTTGCTGTATGAAGCCACACTGCTGTAGAATCTAATGGCAATTGTTTAACAGTAAATTACAATGTGTTGCCTAAAGAACATCACATAGCTTGTGACTCTGGATGTCCAGGAAATTTTCTACAGAGGTACTTTTTTTTTTAAACTACTCAGACCACAGTTTTACAGTGGACAACATCATGATAACTTCAGTTAATAACACTCTAACACTATGAAAGACGATTCAGCCACTGAAGAGTAAACCTTAAGTACTGTAGTCCAGTAGATTAAAATTCAGTCCTTCGAAATACAAAAACAAAGACCACAGATTTCAAAACCAGGGTTTAACAAAAGCTACAATGGACAAATTGTTAAGCTTCAAGTGTTTGCTCATGGCCTCTGGGAAATTTCATAGAATGCTTTTTTTCTATAAATAGGACAAAAGAGAAAATATTTAACAAACATCAAATGTTCATTCTTTACTTTGACTTTGTCCCTATTTCCCAGCACTTGTATTTTATCTAAAAATGTTTAATGAAATGCTTTGTTGAGTATTCTTTTTGCTTCTCTACCTAGGGTCCACAAGATTCTTGTCCATGTATTTCTGGAGCTGGGAGAAAGAGGGCCTCTTGTTCAAGAGTGTTTTGAATTAAGTGAATATACATTATTGTATTTTCTTGGCAGGGTTAATGCTGGGATTTTCCCACCCAGTATGATGAATAATTTGTACAGTTACACAACTGCGTTTTGTCACAGCATCTACTGAGTGGCATTACTACTTTCATTTCACATGAATGATGGCGCAGCAAAAAAGCTACCTCTTGGGTGAAGACATAACCCTGAGAGGCTTCCACTCCTGAAGGAAGAAAGAAACCAATCTTCACAAGAACCAGGGAGAGGCAATAAAATGCTCACTAAATCACATGCTACTGAAGCTGCTGTAGTTCTAGTTCTGCAACTTTCTATGTATTTTAAATAATTAAAAATATCCACATAAGTCTTTAAAAACTAGAATCTTAAAATGATCTACTTTAACAATTATAAAATTATAACCCTAAATTTTCACTGGCCATTCCATCTTAATATCTATTTCAAGGTCAACAAAATACTGAGTTTTGAGGTAGCTAAGGTGATCTCTGGATATAGGCTGTGGAAATTCAAAGTCAAAGGCCAAGAAATTTGTGGAATTTCAACTACTAACCCCCTAATGTAGTCATTTAAGTGATAAGTCAACTGAACCTTATCTCAATGTCCAGTCATGCTACAGGAAGAGATTCATCTTGTCCTTTCTTCAACATGTTCTCTTCCATTTATGAACTGAGGGTCCTAAAGCCTCCCATCACACAGAGGTGATATCCCACTCAGACGACAAATGGGACTATCTCACAAAAGCACGAAAAGGCACTGCTACTTTTTAGAAGCACACAGAGGGGTTTAATTCAATCCCAGTCCATGCACAGGACTCTGTGCCAGGCACATTACCAGGCTGAAAAGTACAGAGAAGAGACAGTCTATATCCTTGTCATCCAAAAATCTAGTAGGAGGGGAAGGAAGTATAAGTCAAGAATTACAGGACAGCGTGACCACTGCCCTATGGGGTGGTTTCAAGGATCCACTGGAGAGGTGACCCAAACAGCTTAGAAAAGCCACGAGAATTTTCTAGAAGTGGTACTCCAGTTTGAATACAAAGGAGATGCCAAATGGACAAGGACAGAGAAGCCAGTTTTAAAAAGGAACAGTATATTCAAAGAAATTAGAGAGAACCTGGCAACTGGGGATGTGTGTAATTAGTCATCACTGGGTGGCATTGGAAGAACAGGGGGAAATGGGTGGGTCCAGATACACATGGGAATGGCGTGTACCACAAAGGAAGTGGCGTGTTCACAGGCTGGGCACGTGGGTGGTGATGTGGCTTGTTCTGTGCTTAGAAAGATCAGTCTGAACCGCTCACAGCATGGCTGGTTATGCAGAAGTAGCTGGGAGACTGCTATCCCAGAAGGAAAGAAAGAGCAGGAGCCTGAACTAGTAAAGAAAGACAAAGGACAAAGAAAGACATGAACAAATATAAAGGAGATACAAGAATGAGAACCTACAGGATTAATGACTATTTTATAGTACATTAAAGTCATACCAGACCTCCTAAGCAGCGCTGTCTACAATTACACTGTCAGCTCTCATAGGGACATCTCATCTGCCTAAATCCAATGGCTGGCACAGTCAGTGGAATCCACATGAATATGTGCATTAAGAACTTCAACTAGCAGTCCCTTGGGCAGCACTATGTGGATGAAGCCATGTTTAAAAGCGTAGTCCATGGTAGCTGGGGCCCAGTCCCTTCACTTCCCCCAGCTTCTGCCTCCTCTCTCTGAATACCTGCCTGATGGAGGGTGTTATAATGACAGGCAGCAGTCTCGACACTCAAATGTACAAGTTATTACAAAATAAAGGCACAGGGCAGCTGGCATAAGATGGATTAGGGCCTATCTCATTGAGTAGTTGGCTGCTAGGAAGAGAAGGGGACCGGGGAGAAATCTCATGGCATTGTGAGCATATCATGTACTTACTAACTGTGCAGTAAGATGATAATTTCCAGCTACTTACTGGGGAGAATAAAATACAGACCCTGTGTTCCTGTACTGCTGTGAATGACCACCAGATGAGCTGTTTAAACTAAACAATTGAGATACTACATAAAGTCTCATTATTACTCTACCAACAACAGTAATGTTAACATCTTTACAGAGTTTTATGCTTTGTTGATTTTTTTGACACACAAAAGGTATATACTTTTCAAAAATTAATTTGTTTTACATCACTTTTTTAATCAGTAAGAACTTTAATCTCACTTTTTATCACTTTTTTCTACATGATATATGTTCTGATTAAAAGTAAAAAATGACACAAAATAAAGCTCTTAGAAATGTAATGTTTAAGTTGCCCGGTCATTCAATTATTTTAAAAAAATCACTCTAATAAGCAAGTGAGATACTGCTGCTATACTACTAAATACAAATGTCAGGTAAGCTTGATCATCAGAAGGGAGGTAGTCAAGAGATCTGTTACTTCAGTTTTTATTTTTCTTGGCTTTTTGAGACAGGGTCTTGCTATGCAGTTTAGGCTGGCCTTGAACTTACTTTTAGCCCATGGTGGTCTTGAATTTGTAGCAATCCTCCTGCCTCAGCCTCCCAAGTGCTGGGACTACAGGTGTGCACCACCATGCCTGGCTATTTTCAGTATTTTAAAGAGAAAAAAAATCACAAAACCTTGTAAAAGAGGAAGGGAAAATATTCTGTTAAAGGTTTCTTCTGTAAATATAATTATTAGACAAGATAAAACAGGTCTATCACACATACTTTTTTGTAGAACTAGAACATCAGACTGCCAAAAACTTGGATTTCTTCTCCTAAAGGCTTTTCTTTGCATCAAATGAGAAAGGGAAGCCCAGAAAGGGTAAACAGTTGCCCAGGGTCATGCAATCTAGTGGCTTAGAACTAAAATAAAATGCTTGCAACTGCTCATGCCTAGATTGGAGCCTGGGATTATGTTAACATCTCTAGAAAGGTAACTGTTTCAACAGCTGACACATGGATGACGGCCATTACAATTCTACATATATCTTTCGCAAGAGCTTACCAATGCATTTAAGAGAGCTTATTGACATTTTAGTACATCTTTAACTTCCTCAAATTTTCATTCTAAACAAATGGGCTAAAATAGTTTGGGGCCCAAATAATGTAAATCTTTAACTGAGCAGAGAGACATTTCACATTTCCTCATATATCTGATAGGAAATAAACTAAACCTGGGAACTGAATATAAACAGGATACTGTACTGGTCTATAGTGCCTTCTTGCCCCCAAGCCAACCCCCGAAAAAAATTATCATGCAGACTTTTTTTTTTTTTTGCAGATTTTTTTTTAAAGAAGGGTGTTGGCTAGGATGCTATCACAGTATTTTTCTCTAATCTCTGATGTCATTCTTTACCAGATTCTATATGCAACCTGCAGCTGGTTTAGAAGTAGCTCTAGCTGTTGTCTTTCTCTGGCTCTCTCTACCATCAGGATAATATTCTAAGATTTTCCCCCTGCCAAAAAAAAAAAAAATCTTGTCTTTTTAAAACATAATCTTTACTCATTTGTAATGTGTGCACAGGAAGATTCAAATTTTCATTCTGGTCCCAATAACTTTTAATGTTACTGACTAATGTACAGTGCTACTTCTGTCAACTTTCAATGCTTGTTTTGAATTTGATTGCGAGTTCATTTTCTTGATGTGTTTGGTGTTTATGCTCCTCTATTCGCAAGGAAGCCATACAGGAGCGGATGGCTGTCTGAAAAGTTGGATGCATTATGAGTTAGAACTTCTCAGGGCCTGGACAATTGGTCAGAGGATCCCACAGATCAGGGAGGTGTTTTATTGAGGCGCTGATTCCTACCTGCCAGCCCATAGGTCCAGGCTGAGCAGCACTCTCCTGGATGGAGGCACACTCATGTCTCTGTGCAGCCTGCAGAGCACATTATCTCCAAATCATGGAGCAATATTCTTAACACACGTTCCTAAGTAGAAGGCAGGGCCTAAAGTAATGGTGTGTTTATATTTTCTTGCTGATTCTGGATACTTTGTAAATTTCAAAAGCCTGGATTGTGAATGAGTCTTTGTGTACAGCTTCTGAACTGGTCAAATGTACCTCACTGGCCTGGTACTGGGAAGCCACTTTCCTGAACAACCTTACAAAGAGTGGTTGATTATTGTGCATTGAGACAGTCATTATAAAGCTACTGAACTCATTATGAGCCTGAAGGCTAGAACAGGACCCAGTCAAACACAGGGTAACTTCTAACACAGCCATATCCCGTGTTCCAAGCCCCAGTCAGTACTAAGAACATGTTACAGGTTTTGCAGCCAGCAAGGTAACATTACAGTACACCCAAGGGGTAAGTTGTGAATATTGGCTCCTTTCTTCACTTTTGTAATTTCCTGGCAAGTGACCACTGTGAGTCAGCTGATCACTCTGAGCTGCCAGGTCCTTCTCAAACTGGCCACTCTGACCATGACAATCAGGGCCAAGACTGGGAATGGGGAAGAAAGAAATGGTGAGGAGGGGAGAGGAGAGGGGAAAAGCAGGAAAGCTGTTTCTCTGCAGATAAAAAATCTCCTTGGAGTAACTATGACCAAGGCAAAGTACTGTAATCATCCATCCACTTGTGACTTCAATGATGGAAACCTCTTGGATACCAGAACCCACATGATAACCTGTCTGCTATATATGTGTATATGTGTCTGTATATGTGTACATGTATGTATATGTATGTGTATTTAT